ATTGAAGTCGTAATATCACTAGAAAAGCGTTTAAAGCACATAAAATCATATTAAAATATACACATTTACAAGTATGTACTGTATTTACAGTACAGTACATGCATTCGTAAATTTAGATTACTTTTTTCTGTACTCTATTAAAAACTAAAATTTATTTGTTTGTAAGCTTAAAATAGATTCTTATTAACCATATATTATTAAAAATGCATTAATAAATAAAATACAGAACTGGGAATAGTAATTTATAGTTTAGCCTAGTGACAAGTAGATTCGGAGACAAGTAAATTCGACTTACGTCGTTTTTCGACTTAAGTCGTTTTCCTGGAACCAATTACCGTATACTGTATACTGTAAAAATATTACTGTGTTAAAATTCTATGGTAAAGAAAAAACATGACCCTCTTTTTTCTTAAAAGACAGAATGATACGTAATCAAAAATAAAATATCTATTCATTATAATGGAAGTAGATCTTACATTTATTGAATGGCGAGTCAGTACACATATTTTTCCACCATTACTTACAATTTTACAAGTCAATAACTTTTTTTTAATTTTTTTGTTACATAAAACAAAGGCCGATAAATTTCTTGCAACGTTGTTGGCCTTTACTTTTATTATTTGTTAATGAAAAACTTAAACAAACATTAAACGTTAAAATCTAATGTGGAGATATAGTCTACCATAGGAATTAGAGATGTAAAAATGTAAGCTACTATATCAATAGCAAAATACAATTTACTGGCTAGAAAACTGTTTGGTTTTCATATATATATCGAAGATTTATACCTATTCAGTATAATTTAAGCAGTAGTATATTGTAAAAGTCAAACAACGAGTTGCTTGACTATTCCGGCAATATTTGATGGCGCTATCTGTTATTATATTTTATTTAAAAAACTTCATATTTAACTATTATAAAATGGCAAAAACCCTAATTTTCGTGGTAGGGTTGGGTTTTCTTAAAAATTTTAAATGCTAATAACGACAATAAGTTCGACTTCTATTGGAGATACACACGATCCCTTTAGCTCCCCACCCCTCGAACTTTAATCACGAAAATTTAATGGATGAATCCCCCTAATAGACAAACCTAGAAGACTACGTTAGGAGTATCTGAGTAACCTAATATTCACTTTTCTGTATGTAGATATCTCTCTTTTGTGTCATTATGTGTCTTAAGATTCTTGCAAGACCTGGTGGAGAAAGGTGGTTTGTACGATTGCTGCATCTATTTCAAATGCTTCTGTACAACAGATGTACCAAAGTTTTTAGTGTACTTAGCTATTTTTTTCTTTAAATCTCGTCCGTGCTGTGATAAATAGGGGCACGACTTCCAATTCGAAATTTTTCGTCTAAATTTAATTCAAACATTCATGTTGTTCATATGGTAGCATAAGCATAACATGAAAAAATATCCTTAACCTTTTAAAGATTGTTTAAGAGAAAATTGTAAAGAAGGTATCCATATAAATGATATACTTCTGACTTTTTTACAAAATACTAGCAGACCCCGTCAGTAGTGGCTCAAAATGTGTCTATTATAAATGTATAACACTTCCCCCGTTAGGGGGAATTTTTCGAAAAATCCCTTCTTAGTGTACATTTTCTTGACGTACACTATTAAAACGCAATCAAAAACGCAAAAAAACCGCATCTAAAATAGTATAAATAGAATGTCAAAATTTCAAAGGAATCGGTAGGAACAAATGAACATTACATTTTTATTTATATAGATAGATAGATGATTTGCTTTAGTTCATCCTCACAGAAAAGCAAAACTTAGTCGTCATACTCGCGGAGTTAGCGCCATCTGTTGGACACAAAAGCCTTAATCCTAGATAATATCTTTTAATTTATATAAATGTTTAATGGAATAATATACGGCCTATGTTCACCATGAAGGTCCATTCTAAATATTGGTGAAAGAACTTTTGAAATCGGATGAGTAGTTTCGGAGATTACCTCCTACATCTAAACTTACAAACTTTACCTGTTTATAATATTAGTGGGATTATAGGGGTAATATAGATATTGACAAGTCGAAAAACTGGAGGAATTTTTCATGGATGATCGGTACAGGATATATCAGGTCCCAACCGTCATCAACCGATGCTCCCGTCATGGGCAAGTTCGAGTCCATGATGGATGTTAAAACTCCTCTTAGTGTCTACATGATGTAAGTGTCAATAATAAAAACAGAATAAATTGATTATGGATCTAAAATAGTACAGTAGAAGCAGAGTTTTTCAGGATAATCCTTAATTAATTTCTCGATGATACCGCGTATTTTAAAATCGCGTCATATACAATGATAACTCGCAGTGGCATGCCGTGACATTTGATGATAGGGAAGCTGTATTTCTATCAGAAGCCGACTTCCAGGGGCAATCAGTCAGCAATGGTCTAGGGTCCATTCGTATTCGTTTGTTCGATAAGCGAGTAAAAACCGTAGACTTCTCTAAATGTATTTTTAATTAATATATTATCTAACGCACTTAATAAATAAGCAAGTTCAATATAATTAACTCTGTTATATTAGATTTAATAAATTCTCTACGCCCTCTAAAGCCAATTCTCGCTTCGATAACATCTACTAATTAAAATATATCTATTAGCCGTAACTATCTTGTTATAATTTTCAATATTTATTTTATATTGTGTACTAATGTTAAATTCTATTCTATTTTGATTTCCAAACTGCTTTGATTTTACGAAAGATTCGATGCGAGATTTACGATTTTTGTGTCTTTTGCCAGCTTTACTCAAATTATTTAAATCGTCAAAGCCAATCTCATTCCACAAACTAATTTTATTTGAGAATAATAGGTAAGGCCAACATAACAATTTTTGCATTTTTATTAGTGTTGCAACGAATAGTATATTTGGCCTCATGCCAAATACCGAATAGTCGAATATTCGGCCAAACTATTCGGCTTTATTAACGCACGTACGAAAATTGGCGCGCAAACCGCATTATGGCGAGGACCCTGCTCTCTATTGGCCCGCTGTCACTACGCTTCGCCAATCGCGTTAATTCTTGACAGTTGTAGCGGACAGACAAGATGCGATAAATGATGATATCGAATGTGGATAACAATAAAATGACCTATACGTGTAAATAACGGAAAAAGAACAGAGAAGGACCGCGAAGTAAAAATGTAAAAATAAATATGAAATTAAGCTGATAGCATAATCGAACAAGTGGAGGCAGCTTATTAGCGCGAAATTCGCGGCCGTCAATGCCAAACAAATGTTGTCATAGACTTCAGAAAGCTAAATGCTTGTAATGAAAGTCATTTAGCGTGCATGGGCGAAAGCCTGGGGCCGTTCGGGCTACCAAGCTGTCTCGAATCTGTGAAATCATAACTGTGACTTATACCGACGTCCTAGCTGTCTCTTTTCTCCGTTATCACCAGGCTATCAGTCACGTAATTGTAAAGTGGGAAATCTAGGACGGAAAAGTGACGAACCGAAAGTATCGTGAGGGCGTATTATGATGTATGCATAGGCATACGTGGACTAGAGAGATAGAGGAAAGAGAAAGGAAAGAGTAAAGACGAGCGCTTAAAAAGGAAAGATAGGGTCAGACCCTCAGATGTGTGTGACGATTCTCGAACGAATAGGTGTGTACGTGTGCTGATCTTTGTAATTATAAATTGTGAATACAGGTGACTAATATTATTTTCTTTTTTATTTTGTGTGTGTTATAAGTTATAAATAAATATAAACACTAACCCGATAACATTAAATCTAAATATCAAAATGATTAATTTACTGTGTTTTTGTTATCTCTTACTCC